AGATAGAGTTGTACAGGGTAATATTGGGAATCAGACATGGTACATTACGTACACATTTATATTTGTTACTCAGATAGAGTTGTACAGGGTAATATTGTGAATCAGGCATGGTACATTACGTACACATCAATATTTGTTACTCAGATAGAGTTGTACAGGGTAATATTGTGAATCAGACATGGTACATTACGTACACATCAATATTTGTTACTCAGATAGAGGTGTACAGAGTAATATTGTGAATCAGACATGGTACATTACGTACACATCTATAATTGTTACTCAGATAGAGTTGACAGGGTAATATTGTGAATCAGACATGGTACATTACGTACAGATCTTCAATTGGTAATATTGTGAATCAGACATGGTACATTACGTACACATCTATAATTGTTACTCAGATAGAGTTGACAGGGTAATATTGTGAATCAGACATGGTACATTACGTACAGATCTTCAATTGTTACTCAGATAGAGTTGTACAGGGTAATATTGTGAATCAGGCATGGTACATTACGTACACATCATATAACAGTCTTATTTTTTCAAATTTGTTCAAACAAATCTTTTCACTGTTATTGGGGTTTGGTTTACAAGATCCTGAAATAGTAGATGTTCACAAAAGTATGATATTAAACATGATTCCTTGGTTATATTATAAAAAACGTCAAATAAACGTAAATTTCATGTTATATCAAAATTGTATTCATTTTCAATCATAACTTCTTTTTTTAAAGAGATATTGAGAAGAAGCTTTGAATTTCTTAATGCAACCAAACAAATATTTTTTTTTTTTTTTGGGGGGGGAGGGGTGAAAATCAAAACTATGAAGCGAAGAGGTCACAAAGTTGTTTCAGTAATTCCAATAAATTTAGACCGATATCTTATGCCTATATTAAAGTGAAAAGAACTATCATTGGTTTTGTGACACCCTGTATAGATGTTATAGACAGGATTGATGCATTGGTTTTGTGACACCCTGTATGAATGTTATAGACTGGATCGATGCATTGCATAGTATACATACATCTAGTCTTATTTAAAGCTGTGTTTATACAACTAGTACAGTGTAATGTAGTATAAATATATAATTAGTTCTTCTGTTTATATAAATATATATCTATAAACAGAATAGAATTAGGAACCTTCTGCTCAGAATACTCGTCAGGGTGACCCCTCTCAGTCTTCAACACTATTTAGGCTGATCCCTATCCCTCTTTAGCACTCTTAAGAGTTACCCCATATCCCTCTTCAAAACTCTTTACGTGACCCTCACTTATTCTTCATCACTTTTAGGCTGATCCCTCGCAATCTTTAGCCCTCTTCAAGGGCCCCCTTTCACTCTTCAAAACTCTTTATGGTGACCCCTCTTTCACTCTACAACACTCTTTAGGGTGATCCTTATCTCTCTTCAAAACTTTTTAGGGTGACCCCTTCTCCCGCCTACACACTCGTCAGGGTGATCCCTCCCACCTTTCAACACTGTTTAGGGTGTCCCCTCTCACCCTTTAACAATGTTCAACACTCGTCAGGGTGACCTCTATCACACTTCGACACTCTTAAGGGGGACCCCTATCTTAACCATCAACACTCTTTAGAATGACACTCAACCTGTAACCTTCTCCTCTTTGTACTCTTTCTAAACTAATTCCCATTCAATTTTCTCCCAATCTTTTCTCCGTCTTTTTTCCCTCAAGCATTCCCATCTTACGTTTTTTCACCATTTCACTTTCCATTTTTGTCTCCATACTTCTTTCTCTCTTCCGTCCTTATTCGCATCACCCGTACAGAGTA